CTTCATAAAAATCGAATTTGGTACAGCAAAATTGATGAATTTGATTTAGTCTTGTGTGATTTGTGATTAGTATTGGGTAATCTTTAGAATTCACATGGAAATTGTTCATAAAAACCGATTTTTAGAAGATTTCTATGTTGAGAACATCAAAAATCCGAATTTAGTCATGAACTACTTGATTTCTCTGATTTAATATCAATTCTGTTTGCTAATAATTTTAATTAATCTCTTTATACTAGTATTAGTATAACAGATCTTAATGTGTTAAAATTAGCACCCAAATTCACTCTTTTTCCAAGAATCATTTCATTTTGCAGAAAATGGATGAAACCAGATCCCGAAGGAGCCGTCGAACTGGTGGCAGCTCCGATGACATTCCCGACGATGCTACTCTAGGAGAGTACATGCTGAACCAAGCCAGACCGAGAAGAAGAAGCTATGTGATGAGATTGCTCCAGCACTCAAGAGAAACACGAGCACCTCCCGAGCCTCAACAGATTCGATACATTGGGAGGGAGACGAACCCGAGAGTGGACTATGCAAGGCGTTTCAAGAAGCTGAACATCAAACCCACGCCTTGCATTGATTATCATACACTCGAGATTCTTGGAATCAGAGAGGATGTGATCTGGTACATCGATGCATTTAAGCTGACACCTTACTTGGAGCTGAACCTTCCGACTTATCCTGAGCTAGTCCTTGAGCTTTTAGCGACCGTCACACTCCACCACACGAAGAGGAGGAACCCCAGAGCATCAGATGGCATCTTGTCATTCTCCATCCGCGGACAGCCTTATTCTCTCACCATACATTGATGGCATCTACCTTGAAGATGAACCTGATCTTAACCTATGGAGAGAGATGGGTAATGGAGCTTACGATAGTGGGAGATCTAAGTCAGCCCTTCTTAGCCACCCAGCAGTGAGAGTTGTGCACAAACTTTTAGCACACACGATCTTCTCTAGAGCCAACATGGGAGGTGTCTTGAAGACTGAGCTCATTACACTTCAGATTCCGTTTATGGATGATCCACGACTTGCCTGCTTTGCCTGGATCATATCGCAGAATATAGTAAAGGTGAAGCATGATTTACATGGTTGCGATGACGCTACTCCAGCCTTCGGGAGTGCTATTACAGCGATACTACAGGCTGTAGGATTCGATTTCTCATCTGATGATCCACTTCCCGATGTCTGGTATGATCTACTTTATCTCTCTCGCGATCACACTATCTCTCGTGCCGCTTTCGATCCAGACAGGTTTGGTTACAAGTATTGCACTGGCACTGAGGAGCACCGAGTCCGCTTACCTTCATCATCTATCCCGAGATTGTGCAACGGAGGACGCCCTCGATGGACTCCGGAATCCGATGATTTTCTGTCATCCGTACCTCGATTACCATTCACCATTGGCCAGTAGATAGTGGCCAAGGCGAGGCGTGATGCAGCTGCGGCCCGTACTCATTTTCAGCCATCCATTCCGACCGGCCACGCCTCATCATTCACATCATCACACACTCATTCCGATCTGGAGCGCAGAGTTGAGAGACAGGGACGACGCTTTGAGCGCGTTGTCACCTTCTTACAGGAGCAGCACCAGTTCGCAGACGACACTTCGGAGGATGAGTGATTGATCAGCACTTCACTACCATCACGGTTCTATCATCATTTTCTTTTCTTTTATCTTATTTTATCTTATTTTGATTTTATTCACCATCATTTCACCAACTTTTTCACACTGGGGACAGTGTGATTTAAGTCTGGGGGAGAATGTCTATCCGTACTAATTATTTTCCTGCCTTTGCTTTTAAATTTCAAGTATTTTTTTTAAATTTTAATATGTAACCTATTCGACATTAAATATTTTTTCAGGAATGTTTGACGCAAAACTATGATGATTTAGACCTGCACACTTCTACACTATGCATGATAGCTCATTTGTGGTTAGCACTAGACTAGGCGGTAGATAGAGTACTTGCACTACGAACTCCCACCAGAGGACTTCTATTCATGGAGATTCTTTCAAACAGGATATACTAGCTCATTTTATTTGGACTTTATATTGATATCTAATTTTCTCATCATTGATTTTAGGCAGGCATCGACATACACATCTAGGACGTCTTTTACCATCATTTTTATCACTCTTTGTCGTCCTAGATGACCAGTTTATCTTTATCTGGTACCATACCCTAAACCCAAAACCTTTGTTTTCTATCCTCATGCATTCTCTCTTTAGTTTATATCAGCAGATATGTGCAAAAACGTCGGAGAGAAGAGGAGCGACGCAGTTTTCAGTCACTCGCAAAAGAGACTGAATGGAATTGGGAAGGAAGAGTATCAGAAACATAATAAAGCTTTACAAGACAGATATTAACTGGTAAATTCGTGCTCTCTAAGACTCTATATCTAAAGGTGTTCCTTTTCTCTAAAAAAAAAAAAAAAAAAAAACGTGAAAAGAGAAAGGAAAACAAAAAAACTTAATGAGTCTTAGATTTTCGAAATTTATGGAGCAATGAGCAACCACTATTCGTTTAAGGAGCTATTGTTTTGAAAGATTTACAAAAATCTAAGTTTGGGGGAGTTTGGAGAGAACTTGAGGAAGAAGACCACGAATCTATGTCGAGAAAAAGTGACTGAAAATTGTGGAATCCAACAGCTTCACTCTCTCTTGCGGTTTTGCATAATGTCCTGCATCCTCCAGATATTCAGGTAACCCTTAAACACTTTAAGCCATACCCCCAAAATAATCTTTCTTTACACCTAGCCTAGATTGCCTTGCCTAGATTTTCTTTGATGAGAACCACCGAGATTTTTAATGAATGTTAAGAGCTAGTTGACTGGAAGTTAGATCTTAGTGCATAGATTTCTGCATGACGGATTAACGGACTAGTTATGCCTGTATTGCTAGTGAGAATTTTCTAGGCTATTCCCGATTGATGCATACTGATTGATATTGGTCTAGAAGTTTGGTCTCTGAAATTTTGTTTAGTTCCTGCGTTTTCAAACCTCTTGCCGAGATTTAGCCTTTGTTTTATTTGAGGACAAACAAAAGACTAAGTCTGGGGGAGTTGATAACACCGGATTTTGACCATTTTTATGGATCATTTTAATATCTTTTACAGGTGTTTTTACTCCGTTTTCAAAGGTTTTCAAAGGATTTCTATGTTTCCGGATTTTAAAAGACTTTTCAGGTAATTTGAGATAAAGAGGCACAAAATGGAACAAAAAGACTCTTTTGGATAAATGCAGACCGTCAAAACTCTCATGGAGAGACGAAGACCTTCTCACCGTCTGATCACCCTCAAAATTGGACAACTTATAGAAGAATCAACCAGCTTTCAAATGCACTTGGTTTGGAGACATTCCAACGGTTGGATCTCAAGATATTCCATTAGCCCTGAAGCCACGCGGAGTCGGCCAGCAACTCACGCGACCGCGGCCAACAAGCTATTTGCCGCGGTCAGAAGCTTCCTGACCGCGGCCAACAAGCCAATTGCCGCGGTCACAACACTCCCGACCGCGGCATTCAACCTCCGACTTAAAGCCCACTTATCTGAAGCCGAAAGTCATTCCCAGCCTCAATTCCGGAACCCTAGAGACCATGGAGTATTGGAGACTATAAATACATGTCATTTAGGTCGTTTTTAGGAGAGCTTTTACATACTTTACAGAAACCTTTTTTCTTTAGCCGTTTTTATGAGATTTTTGTAGAAGATTGTTCAAGTCCGAGTTCTTCAATAGAGAAGCTTTCTTTATCTATTTTCTTTACTGTTTTTCATTACTTTTATTAAAACCAATGATGATGTCGAACTCAGCCATGTCTGAGTAGGTCCCGAGTTGGGCTTAGGGTTCCCGAAAGGGGCTCTCATAATCGATTAAGACATCTAGGTTTATAGATCTGGGATTTCGACCTGTTCTCTGTTTATTCTTGTTCTTATTGCATGTATGCTTGATTGATCACCTCGAATCTGAGCTAGATAGTTAGTGTTGCGAAAGTTTTCATTAAGTATCAGCCCTAGAATGAAACAGGTGATTTTTCCGTAGGAGTGGAAACCTACCTGCGGCGAGATCGTGAGTATTGACGAGTCTTGTGCAGCTCTTGCGTTCTCTCCCTTCCAAGGCCAGAGTGGAAACCTACTGGTCAGGGTTGCGAGAAACAGTTGGTTATGATCACGACAGTGACGTAGTCATACCGCCGTACTCTAGCTCTAGAACCCATATATTGTTATCCGTCAATCCCAATCTATCTACCTTAGTGTTAAAACCGATTATGATCCCTTAGAGTTCCCAAAAGCTCAGCGTTTTTAGCCATAGTTTACAATTCCATCGATTTTTACTTGCTTTTCTTAGACCTGCATTTCAATTTCCTTAGTTCGTTATTTACTTGCTTTATTTACCTTTCATTCGATATTTACTTGCCTTATTAGTCTTTCATTCGATATTTTACTTGTTCTATTGCCTTTCATTCGATTTCTTTACTTGCTTTTTAGGATAGATTTATTTACTTTCTTTTGTCTTAGTTTAATTCGAGAAAAACAACCAACCTTTAAAACCAATTTAGTCTAGACATAAAGTTAAAAACCGTAGAAGAATACCAGGCACACAAATCTCAATGGATTTGATCCCTAAATACTACAACTGATTAGCTGTGCACTTGCGGCTTTCTTTTGTTTTGTTAAGGGTAAAACTTGTTCCCTCACGTAGTTGACACGAGCACGCAATCATTAACTGGTTCTCGATCTCAATCTGTTTGAAAACCGTGTCCTTTTTAGCTTAATTGAATCCTCCTTTATTAAATTTGGGGGCATTTCTCTATAGTGGAAGATCCTTGAGTTACTATAGTAATCAGAAGATTTGATATATATAGTTACACAGTTGGGTTTAATGTTACAATTACAATCTGTGTTTATTGTAACATATCATGAAAAAGTTTATAGCTTTCGATCTCTTGAGACAAAAGTTTCCTGAGTCTGATGACATTTGGATTCATTCTTGCAGTCATTGTCGAGCAGTATTGAAGGAGGTACCAAGTGGTTGGTCAACAAAATCAAAGGTTTTATTTTTTGTTACATCTTTCTCAGTTCTTGTTTCACAATTTTGTAATCTATTGTTACTCAATAAGCCGGAGGTTGCGATTCTCAACTATTCCATGTGGTATTCTGCATTCTGAAAGATATTGAATTTAACGTAAATTGTAAAGATTAGGCGTTTCTTCAATTTTATTCAAATTAAGTTCTTGTAGTATATATGTTGAGTAGTCATGTTTATCGTTTATTATGGTTTATAAACGGATTATCGACAATTGAATGCAGCGTCATTCTTGATCTGAATAAGAAAAATGCAGAAGCCTTTGCCTGAATTGCTGAAGGAATTCGGTCTACCGGTTGGGATATTTCCACAGGATGCTACAAACTATGAGTTCAACGAAGATACAGGTAAGTTAACTGTCTTCATCCCTGAGACCTGCGAGGTTGGTTACAGGGATTCATCGGTCCTACGGTTTTCAACTACGGTAACGGGTTACCTGGAGAAAGGGAAGCAAGCGGAAGTGGAAGGCTTGAAAACAAAGGTGATGATTTGGGTGAAAGTGACCTCTATTTCAGCAGACGCCTCAAAGGTTTATTTCACGGCTGGGATGAAGAAAAGCAGGAGAAGAGATGCTTATGAGGTGATACGGCCTGGTGTTGGTGTTGATAAATTCTGACCTTTTGATCAACTTACGGTGCAATAACAAAATAATGTCAACTTTTTGATGTTTGTTTTTGTACGCATGCTTTGCTCCTTACCTTGTCTCAAACTATAGATCTGATGAAGCAAACTTTTACTTCTTAGTGTAATAATAATGTATAAAGAATGTTGTTACTAGGAAAATGTGTTCCATTTTTCATATATCAACATGTGATTACATAGAAAATGTTTTCTTTAGTTAAGCAAAGACTAATAGAGGAGGAGGATTCTTTGCGTCCAACAAAACTTTGTGATTGGAAGTTTCTTGATAATTATGGAACCTGATTTTCATATAAAACTGGCAGCTCCCCTATAGCTCTGAACTTTCAATTTGTTGAAATCCTCCTCGAAATCCTCCTCGAAATCCTTATCACCCGTGATCACGTGTATGTTGGCTGGCGCTGGATGGGTTTTTTTCCTGTCATGCCCAAACGCTAGTGGAATTCCTTAATTGCTTGGCCGAGCGTGGTTGGACGTTCGATGGGAGGGAACTCCTGTGGGATCAAACAGTTCTCTAAATCCACGATAACTAAGGTTTCACCACCAAACTGTAATTTTCACCCAAAAAATAAGTTACAGAGATAAGACGAGAAAAATCTCCAAAAAAGTAAAATAAAAAGATATCGAGAACGATACCTTGTTTAGCTCCCATGATTCATTGGTGGGTGGCAATTCTCCAAAGTTAGCTTCAAATAGTTTCTCATCCAAAGTCTTGGTCGAATTACTGCATGTGCCAAGTCTTCAGTAGATTTAAGGAAAAAAAACAAGTCTTAAGTTTTTTCATCTACAGAATCAAATTTGGGTTTTCAACAAAAAAATTCAATCTTTGATATAGGTAAGAAGAAAATTAAGCTTTTATATATCAACATAATCAAAGTTTTGTTTTCCACTAAAACTATATGGATATTTATTAACACAACACAAAAATGCAGATTTTGGGCAATGCTCATGACACATTTTATCAAACCATTTAGTAGAAAGTTGTATTACATTTAAAGTGTGTTTCATGTCCAAACTCTGTTTTAAGAATAAAAGTTTTCACTTGTTTACTTGTAAGGTGAAGATGATATGTTTAAGTTTAAATATCATTTTATACATACTCTAGCAGCTTTTAGCTTTTTCTTCAAGACATAACTTAATTATTCACCAAATTTCAATAAACACAAGAGATCTCATATGAAACAAAAGTTTCTATGTTTTCTTATTGTAATTGCATTTTACGTTAAGAAATAAAACTTTACTGTTTCCATATAACTAGTTATAATCCTATACAAACAAGCCAAATTTATCTTTGTGTAAACCATCAAGTGATGAGATGAGATATGACTTTGAATTAGAGTTTTAATCTTTTATGTAGTATAAAACATGATCACTGATAAAATTTTAAAGATTTCACAATGATTCGATCTTGTATTTGAGAATAAATATGTAGAGCTGCTACCAAAATGAACTTTAGCACATTTTTCCTTACACTTGCTAGAAAATTTAAAATGAATCCTATCAAATATTTTCAACTCTTTTGGATAATCATTATTTTCGAGTATTTCACCTTCCTATGTGGATCCCTCAGTAGATTTGGATGTATGATCAAGCATAATATTATATAACCAAAAAAAATCTAAAGTTAAGCATGTAGTTTTTCTATTCCAAAGTCTCTACAGTCTCATTTTTTCGTCGAATCTCTTGATTATCTGTATGTTGGTACATGGTTCTATGTTTGAAGATTTTCACATTCCACGATTGGTCGTGGTGAGTGATTTGGCCGCGGAACACCATACTAGGAACACTAGAGAGTTTACTCTCCTCACTATAGCTTCGAGTCCTTCTACTTCATTGTATAGCTGTCCCCCAATTAGTTCACTAATAAATTTCTTAAATTATGTGATCCTTAAAGTCATATTATTGTAATAGTTTATACTAAAAAGATTAGGTATCTCAGAAACTTGCCATTTATGGACTCTCCACATCGGTAGTATCTAGAGGGTAATACCGAAGACGAATACGTTCCAACAGGTCTTGACAATTGAGCCGATCCCACTCCTGCTTGAAAACCAAATGCACATCAAGTGGAAATCAGAGGTATAGATTCTTTGAAAGGGAAACATGTGGCAATGACAAATATGTAACTTTTGAAAGGGGTCTTCTAGTTTATGTAATGTCAGAAAATATTCGTCAGTAAAGTTAAGTAAGGTATTTATTTTTGAAGACAAAAAAAAATGTCAAAACATGCGAATTTTTGTCTTGAGTTTTGGATTCCGGGCTCGGATCCAACCGGATCGGGTCTCAATTTAAAACCACAAAACCACCGGGTCGGTTTCGTCGCCTTATCTTGTTGACTCTCTCTTGTACTACGAGCGCGAGTGAGAGAGAGAGACGTAAAGAGACAGCAAAAATGGCGGCGACGCTTACGGGATCGGGGATTGCTCTTGGATTTTCGTGTTCCTCAAAGATCTCTAAGAAAGCTCCGTCTTCCTCCAATCGTTGCTGCATCAAGATGTCGGTTTCGGTAGAAGAGAAGAAGAAGAACTTCACTCTTCAGAAATCCGAGGAAGCTTTCAATGCTGCCAAGGTAGCCTTCTCAGTTTCGATTCATGGAAGTTTATCGTTGTTAGATAAATACCGTTCGATTGATATGAGTTTCTTACGAGAATTGGATCAGTTTTTGGGTAAAATCAGCTTTCTAGATTGTCTCGAGAATAGTTTAATCGCGAATTCAAGTTGATGAATTAACTAGAAATGAGGTTATTTTGTGATCTTTGACGGAATTTTTATTCGAATTGATTATCGTTGTGGCTCAAAGGAAATGCAGAAAATACGGAATCAGAATCTGAGAAAAGAGTTTCTGTTTTCATGGTTTCATTTTGTGTTGTGATTATTGAAAACGTTTCATTCTTTTGTGGAAGAATCTAATGCCTGGAGGCGTGAACTCACCTGTCCGGGCCTTCAAATCAGTCGGTGGACAACCAGTAGTGATTGATTCCGCAAAAGGATCACGAATGCGAGACATTGATGGAAATGAATACATTGACTATGTTGGATCTTGGGGACCTGCCATAATCGGCCATGCCGATGACGGGGTTCGTCTCTTTGATTATTTTCCCCAACTTCGTCGATTTTCAGATGCTGAGTTTGAAACCTGTGGTCTAGTGCAGGTTCTTGCAGCTTTGGCTGAGACGATGAAGAAAGGAACAAGCTTTGGTGCTCCTTGTCTCTTAGAGAATGTTCTTGCAGAGATGGTGATTTCAGCTGTTCCAAGCATTGAAATGGTCCGGTTTGTCAACTCCGGTACAGAAGCATGTATGGGCGTGCTCAGACTCGCCCGTGCTTTCACAGGGAAGCAAAAGTTCATCAAGTTTGAAGGTTGTTACCATGGCCACGCAAACTCGTTTCTTGTCAAAGCAGGTAGTGGTGTAGCCACTCTAGGCCTACCTGACTCTCCCGGTGTCCCCAAATCAGCTACTTCAGATACTCTTACAGCTCCGTACAATGATCTTGCTGCGGTTGAGAAGCTCTTTGAGGCGAACAAAGGCGAGATCGCTGCCATCATTCTCGAACCTGTTGTTGGTAACTCCGGTTTCATCACACCTAAACCAGAGTTCATCGATGGGATACGCCGGATAACTAAGGACAATGGTGCTCTTCTCATTTTTGATGAAGTCATGACTGGCTTTCGTTTAGCCTATGGTGGAGCTCAAGAATACTTTGGAATCACACCTGATTTAACAACTCTCGGGAAAATCATCGGTGGTGGTCTTCCCGTAGGAGCATACGGTGGAAGAAGAGACATTATGGAAATGGTAAAGCTTTGAGTTTGTTAGAAATGATCAAATATTACCAAACAGCTCTTGAATTTTGATGGTAGAGAACACTTTGCTGATGATATTCTTGTTACAGGTTGCACCTGCAGGACCAATGTATCAAGCTGGTACGCTTAGTGGTAATCCTCTGGCTATGACTGCTGGTATTCACACGCTGAAGCGGTTAAGACAGCCAGGGACGTATGAGTATTTAGACAAGATCACGAAGGAGCTTACAAATGGGATACTAGAAGCAGGAAAGAAAACTGGGCATGCGATGTGTGGCGGTTACATAAGCGGGATGTTTGGTTTCTTCTTCACAGAAGGACCCGTCTACGATTTCTCTGACGCGAAGAAGAGCGATACAGAGAAGTTTGGAAAGTTTTTCAGAGGAATGTTGGAAGAAGGTGTCTACTTTGCACCGTCTCAATTCGAGGCCGGTTTTACTAGCCTGGCTCACACACCACAAGACATTCAATTCACCATCGCAGCGGCCGAGAAGGTTCTAAGTCGTATCTAGAATGATACAGAGAACCATGAGTGTTCTTGGTGTGTTCTCTTTTTTCCTTTTCTTCCGTTGTTACTGATTTGATCAGATGAGAATTCTTGTGTAGTGAGTTATTATATTTACTGGTAGATAGATGGATAACCGGATCCCGGTATGCTATTATCTAAACCCCGGAATTAAACCGGAGTAAACCAACACTGGACACAATTTGAAAGCTTTTAGTTGAAGAGAAAAGCTTTTGGTAGTATCTGAATCTGTAAGGAAAGTGATCTCTGTGGTAAGAAAAATATCATATATACATAATAATGATAGTTACTACTTACCATAAAAGATGCGAGCAAGGAGACATTCACATTTATAGAATCTAAGAAAAAGAAAACAAAAACAAGATAAAACCAAAAAAAATGATGGAGAGAACAGATTTGTGTCCGAAGCAAGATGGCAAAGATCGAAAAAGGTTAAAGCAAAAGAGCACCTAATGTGAACCTCTTGATCAAACAATTTTCTCAGGAATTTAAGCAAGCTAATAAAATCTTAACATTTCTAAGATCATCCCAAATCAAATTATTTAAACCAATAAGATCTAATTGGTAATTGTGCGTAAATGGTTATATAGAGTTACATACCAAAACAGCATCACTATGTAAAAAGCTAAGAGCAAAACACTACCTTTCTTTCTTCTGACCGTTTCTTTTTCTGTTTCTATGATTCGGCGAATCAGTTAAACAAATCAGTTTGATTTTTTTGGCGAATCAGTTAAACAAAAAGAGAAAATCACCAAAAAAATCAAACTGATTTAGGAGCATTGGGATTGGAACATGATCAGAGGTTTAGAGGGTCAACTTCCTAGTTTTGCTCCTTCATTGGACTCCTTTCTTCTCCCTCTGTCAAAAAACATAGCGAACTCTTAATTAGCAGGACATTACCATCTACCACAAACAAACACAACTCGGTCTCTACTTTTCAAAACTCTTTAAAATATAAATAGATGTAGTATCTTCAGAGTTTTTGGGTTATATATGCATAAGAGACCATATACGAATGCATAAGAGACCATATACGAAAGCAGATAAACAAAACAAGTATCGATTGGAAATGTAACGTACTTGGCTTTTCTTGGAGATTCTGTCTCTTTCTTCTTCTTCTTGATTTCTTACTTTTGGGTTCTTCCAAGTAGCGAAGAACCTTATTACTTAATGTGTGTATTAAATACACAAGGGGTACGGAACTAAGCCCCCCCCCCCCCCCAAAAACTGAAATTAGCAGAATCTCCCAGATAGATTGATGACGCTTGATTTTATTTCCAAGGTAAACTTTAGCTGTCTCCTTCATATTAGTCAGAATCATGGCACTGATCTCCTCAGGAGAGAAAACCCTGGTCTCACCATCCTTGATCTTGACTTGAATGTATGGCTTGCCATCCTTGTTCACAATCTGGTAAGGTACAAGGTTCCTGTCCTCGAATCTGCCATAACAAGAGAAGAAAAAACACAACGAATTAAATCAACAGTCCATATGCTATATGTGAAACAAAACAAACAAAAAAACCAAAAGAAGAAGAACCAAGAGAGAGGAGGGATTTACTTGACGTCGAAGATGGTTCTCTCCGAGTTAAGAGCCGCCTGGTTCTTAGCAGCCTCGCCAATGAGGCTCTCGGAGGAAGGTGTAGTACGGTTTCCTTGGTAATTGTCAATGGTTTCAACATATGGCCATTCATGTAAACACCAACACAAGAATATCTTGGACCATTATCTATCCCTCTAACGTTGGTGGCCTCTTCTTTAGCAGTGGAAAACGCAAATAGACATCCGAAGAAGATGATCCAAAACTAATCACGAGTGTAGAATTATTTCAGTTAATGAGTGTAGAATATTTTTATCTTGTTATTAATTATACAACTTATAGATTTCTAAACACAAAAGCAGTTGATCATAATCGTGTAATTCCACATGTTTTCCAATCCAATTATGAGATCACATATATTCTAATAATCAAGTTTTCAAACTATATATGTGAGACATATATTCTAACAATCAAAAACTAGTTTATACAGAGATTTATTGTTGTACACCGATAACCTACGCAGGAGAGTTTTATTACTTTATAGAATCACAGAAGGTTAATTACCTGTACCTTTGCTGCTGCTGCTAGGGGATGAAGAGATATTACGTTGAGACACGATCGCTCTCCAGTTTTGATGTACCTGCGCAATTGCGGCGAGACCATATCGCCAAAAGAAAAAAGAAAAAAAGAAGTGAAAAAAAATGGATTGAAAAATCTAGGTTTTGCTATTGTTCGTGTCTGATTTCATCCAAAGGAAAACAGAAATATATATAAACGTTGTGTGAAATTGTGTATTAAAAATTTGTATTCTAGTTTTATGCTTTATGAAACTGTGTATTAAAAATTGTCTAAAGGTACGTCCGGCCGAACTCCAATTCATGCTTATGCAGTAAACCATTTGTCTAAACCAATAAAACTAAACCAATTCCATGGTTACAGCACTTTTGAGATGTTTCAGTCTCTCAACAACAAATCTTAGCTATCCTCTAGCAGCACTAATGATTGATAAGTAGTATGTGTGCACCGTTCCCGTGAGTCTGGCTCCTGACTACTTGGCTTCAGCGCCATCCTCAGCTTCCAAGGTTCGAACAACCTTCCTTGTATCTAAATTCCAAATCTGAATGTTGTGTTCCGTTGCAACAACAGCGAGTTGGAGGCAGAGTTGGAGATGGGTGATCCAAAGCAAAGATTGTTGATGATCAAATTAGTTCAGAGAGAGATAGGTGCACCCCATCAGCCAATATTTCCGCAGCAAAATTAGACAATGTTTGCATCTGCTTGCACAAAACAGTATCTGGTGATAATGACATGGCGCAAACAGGTTCTAGTCATATGACAAGGAGATCTCCAACTTCGAAAAACTGGTTGTAGTCATCTCTCTGCCATCTTCTTAGACTTTCTTGGCCCTCTAAGATTTTGAGGTTGGATCATCATCATTTTTTTTTTGGCCTCAAAGATTTTTTTTAAAATTTCTTATTATGGTTCTGAAATATTGAAGCAGATAAGACATTGATTCTTCCGATTTGATGATTTAGGCCGGATCAAGACAGAAAAGTTGCAAAGAAGGAAGATGCAACTCACAGGAAAGCCAAACCTTTAGGAGGAAGAAAGTTGTGGAATTCCAAAACTGATATTCCCTCTGTTCAGAATTATTTGATGTTCTAGAAAGTTTTTTTTGTTCAGAATTATTTGATGTTCTCAGTTTTCAATGCAAAATTTAATGAATTTTTATAGTTTTTGACATTTTAGATTCTGCAGAATATCTTCTTATTGGCTGAATGATATTTAAATGAATTATAAATAATATTTTTAATATAGAAAAAAATAAAAATTAAATGAATCCTTAAACTGTGTGCAAAAACCTTAAACATCAAATAATTCTGAACAGAGGAAGTATTAATTAGTGTTATCTAAAATTTAATTTTAGATATTTGGGACTCCACAGCTTTCTTCTTCCCAGAGTTTAGCTTCCATGTTTGAATATTTTAAATCTTATATACTAGAAATGAAATTAATAGCATCATCATGCGGCAAAGCTTCACATATTTTTGGTGTTACGGTGTGATTGTGTGAAGTCTACACACGAAGGGCTAGCTAGCTATGTGAAGCTTTAAAACCGCAATTAATACAAGACATTAAGTTTGATCTCTCACAATTTAAAGAGTCCAAGGTGGTGTTTCAAGCTCGTGGAGGAAATTGTGTGGCCGATAGGGTAGCAAAGGAAGCTCTTTCAAATCAGAACTATGCTCCTAAGTTGTACTCTTTAGTGCCTAAGTGGTGTCCCCTATGTTCACGCGGTTTATCATGTGCATTGAAACTATATATGGTTAATGTATAAATTGATGTTGATCCAAAAAAAAAAAAAAAAAGGCTAGCTAGCTTCGTGATTTTGGCCCACTGAGTCCATACAAAATGCTCTTAAGTCGTAACTACTAACTAAAAAAAAAAAAAAATTATACTCCTTAGATTGGAGTTGGACCAGGAGGTCGAGGACTAGTCAAATTTATGATTGGTATTAGGTACATCAAATATATTTTGCTGTATTGAAGTTGAAACAATTTTATAATTTTAAATAATTTTATTAAATGAGTCTCACGTTGACCTAATATTAGTTTTCATGCGAGTTAAAAACAGTTTAATCGTATATATTGATATGATACATTGATACCCCATGAAACAAAACAGCAAACATATATTTTCGTTAAATCGGAAAATAGGAAATATACATATCCCCAATAGATAATAATTACGTAAAAATGAAAAAAGAAGTAGAGAGATTAATTCCGGAAAAACATATATACAACATCTGAAAATGCATATATATATTATCCCGGGAAATTAATTCTCTACTTCGCACACTTGATAAACTCAGAAAAATTACGACAGCGTAACGGATACACGTGGTGGTTGGGTATATCAAGTTGGGGTAAGAAAGTCAATAGTGCAATAGTCAACGAAATCGTTTATTTATTTTTTTTCATGTAGCTGCTCCAGAAGAGGACTGCTTGCCGTTTTTAACGTTTTGTTCATCTTCAACCTCAGCCCTCCGATCATTTCCGCACGTGCACTTGTTCGCTTGACGAACGACTGCGATTGGTGCTGGCTCAGGGGATGAAATTGTGCCTAGCTTCAGCATATCGAGGCTCACCTCTGGTAACTTGGCAGCTTCCACTTCTTTCTCTCCCAAATGCGGCGGCGTTTTACAATATTTGTAGACTACGTAGAGTATCATTTGGAGTGCACCGAGAACAAATCCAATCACATTAGGGAACTGCAAAAAAAAAAAGTTTATTTAGTGGCAATAATAAGATGATAACTATTTAATACACTCACTTTTCCACTTTCTAACATACGATGAATAAAGTACGTTAAAATAAACTTATGACAAAAAAAGGTAAAGTTTATGGCAAACTTGTGCGGCATCGATAGAAGTTACGTACAAAATATAATTTCTGTGTAACAATAAAGATAAAAAGTTCTCTAATTATATGAAATTTCTTTTGCAAAAGCTAAATTCTTTAATGTTTCTTTGGAACATAAAGCGAGAGTCTCTTTATAATTTGTAATCGTAAAGGACAATACCAAACAAAAGTGTTTTGCTCTCTTTAATTAGATGTTTTATCTTTTGCCAATCCATCTCTTTTTATCTATATGAATCTATGATTAGAACCTCAAAGTCTCAGGTATTAGAAACAAAAGCAACCACTTCTTGTAATACACATTATGATAATGGTAAAACATATGATTATGATGCTTCAAGTCATGATAATAACGATGCTTCTTAGAAAAAAAATTCATGATCATAATGTTTAACATATATATTCACTTAAGATTATTGACCTTTTTCAGTATTTGTATGTGATATTTTATAGTGATTACGGTGGTTAGTTGATTTCTATATTAAAGATGTGTGTTTACGTGTGTTATCTAGATAGTATTTATAAGAACATAAATAGATGAGAGAGAGGAAATGGCTTACAGCAACATAGAAGTCCTTGAGAGCAAGACCATAAAGGAGCCATATCACAGCACTGATTGTAAGGGTTAAAGATAAGCTAAAGGGCATGTACTCCACACTCCTTGTCTTTATCACCGTCCTCTATATTTTCAATCAAAACATATGTTAATTATTGAAACTAAAATAAATAATAAATTAATCCACTTCATTATACTTAATTAGATCTTTCTAATTAAGTAACTCACGATTATGCTTAGAGGAGCAGCGAAAACACAAACAGAGAATCCGACACAGATTCCTCCGATGATCTTCGCACGTGTGGGTCCTTTGAACAAGAATTGGCAAATAAGGAGAATCAGACAAAACCCTCCAAAGTTCATAAGAAGTAGCAACTTCACTGTCAACATCTGCATCCATTAAGAAAACATAATATATAGTTATAAGCGATTTTATTTGATATAGTAAACACTCGTTTATACATATATATATATATATATATATATATAAATAAATAAGTGTGAATTGAGGGTTTTTAGATACCTTGGCTGTCTTGGGGGCGTAGGCAAGGTACATGGAGATGTAGATGGTTTCAATGAAGCAGCCAAAGGCGTTGATGGTAACAAGGAGGAAGACATCTTTCTTCTGTGTCGCATAGTAAAGCCATAGCGTCGCGCTGAAGAGCGCCACAACGTAAGGAAGAGACTGAAATCCTTCTGTTGTCTTCTTTTTCCAAACCCTATAGAACGTTGGCCTGTATCCATTTCATACAATAAATATTAATATTATTGACTTATAAACGGAATAAAGTATATTCAATGTACGTAGTCATGTATATTAGCATATATGTACTCCATTTAGATTTATTAATTTAAGAAGAAAGAATATTGGTAGGTGATAAACACAAATAACTATGATATATATCTCGTGGTATGTTGAGGTAAGATGTGAATATAACTTACACAGGAGAAAGGAACACGGCGAAGGAGATAACATTTCCTGAAAAGTATAGAAGAATATAACAAAAAGATATAGTATTAATAAATCGATCTCTCTAGAATATTTTAGATGAGAGATTCAGAACTTGATAGAAAAAAGACGAATACAAACGTTAGTATCATACCCATCAAACCAAAGACAAAGGCCCATGTGTTGTGAGTGTCGAAGAGAGGCATGACTCTCTTTTCTGGTTTGTATAAACTCTTTAGGGGTTTTGGGAGGAAGAAGAAGAGATATCACACTTAGATATATTTCTAAGTGTTTTCTCTTGATATAAAACTGATTGCACGAACTTAGCATTTCGAGGACTTCACGTATATATAGAGGGTTAGGGCTAAAGAGAGGAATGGGGTTTGTGTGGGAAGAGATGGACAAAAGTGAAATGTCTGTGTGAACAATAATATTCTGAATATTTTCGGGAAAGTATTTTTAAAAGCATTAGTGTCATTGTAGTTGTAGAGCAGAAAACAAAACAAAAAAAAAAGAAGAAAGAAAAAAAAAAATGTTATAGACCTATACCAATAATTCACACGCTAATCCATTACCAAATTGTATACATGTTGACGTACAAAAAACAAATATCCATCACCAAAATAGCTTTTTCGGGTTTTCGCTCAAGAGTTAAATACTTAATTAGTTAGATTACTAATGCTTGTCAATCTCAGTTTAGGCAAGCTCTTTTTTTCAGGATTATGTCTAGATTCTACCTATGCATCCACATATCTACACCAAATAGTTCTGATTCGAAAACTCGAGAATGACATAAATAATGACCTAATTATTTTACGATTTTGTGGTTGAAGACCAATCACGTAATAATGGTTTTGTCATTTAATTTTATTCCATATGTTTTATTATTGTTACGCTGAATTACGTGATTTCGTAGTATTACTACTTAAAACAACCTAGTAATTACAGATGATTAAAATTAAAGATTATGTACTTAACAAAAAACAGTTTGGCATGTAGTGGAATAATGTAGTGGAATAAAAGTATGTGCGTATAATTATATATACACTAATGTACAGCTAATATAAATATATACATTATTACATTATATACTAACATTATATACTAGCATAATGTAATGAGATTTCCACTAGTTCTCTATCATTAGAATATTAGGACAATCTGAACATATTGCTTTAGATATCTTCTTAAGGAAACTGAGATTTGCAAAGTTCACTAAATTTACGTTACCAAGAAAATTAGTTCACGTGACACGGTATGTCAATATTATTATGCCGTTTTCACTTTTAGCTCTTTTAATCCTGCTATTCATGTTTCTTTACAGAACCAATAATAAGTAGCCGTTTCTCAATCATTATTCTTTTGTCCGTACCATAGGAATAAATAACAAAAATTATGTCTTTCAATCACACATATGTAAGAACTCATAGTTAATTTTTTATATCTGATGTACCGTATGTATTGTCAAAGTTTACCTAATAAAATCTCATTAAGCTGAATACTTTCGAAAATTTTGTCTATCATTGGACTCACTCGCATTCAGTTTCACTTCCAAGCATCTCTCTACATTGCACTTCGTTTCTCTTTAAAATTTAAGGAAGCTAAAATCCCAAGTTTTAAGTATATCTCTTGTCGGAAGTCTACCTTTCAAAGCTAACTAAGCCGTGAAGGAGTGCCGTGGCACGAATTCTCTGAACCAAACAACTTTAGTCCAAAAGACGAAATGGCAGTGATGATGTAATTATATTGCTCCCAATTATCATTGGAAATGAAAGAAACTTGTTGCTTTGTGTCATAGGAAAATATCATTTTTCAAGACACCGCTGGTTGTCTTATGATCGTGAGTGTGAGCAAGAAGAATGTTTCTTATTGTTCGAGAGAACACGAAGCATATAAAAAAAATATTAATCATTTTGACATTACAAACAAAAATATTTAGAAAAACTAAACGATGATGGATGTATAAATAATACTATTGAACTGGTATACTACGCGGGGGCATTTGAAACAAGATCATTTACAAAACTATAGTTATATATTTTTCCTAGTCCACATTGAAGATATATACCTAAAAAAATAAAATGGATTATTTGTAAAGGCCAAAACTTGATAAATACCATAAATAACTAATCAAACCCTAAAATACTAGTTTAATGCATTCATACTTAACTCCAGTTAATATAGTTCCCATTGACTCATCGGAGATGCAATCTTGGCTAAAAGTAAAAGGAAGATCTTCAGCAATTTAATGCAAACATGGCTCAGATATGAGTAAGGAAACAATATGAAGCTCTAGCTACTAGAAAATGTATATGTTCTCCTTTGTTTTTTTTTAATCTTTTTTTGGTGCTCTATCTTTTTTGTAGATAAACAATCTCATATCCTAATGAAATTCAAATACTTAAAAAAAAAATATAGTTCCCATTAACTGGATCAAATCCTTAACTATCAACAATATGAATTAGCTCTAGCTTTGCTACTAGAAAATGTATAGGCTCTCTCTTGTTTTTTTAAGGAACAGCCTTTTGCTCTATTTTTTTGTAAGTTTACAAACAATCTTATCTTAATGAAATTCAAATACTTATCAAAAGAAGGAAAATATGGTTCTCATTAACTGGATCAAATCCTTAATTATCAAAATATTAACTTACACCGGACATTTATGGCTGTTCATTATTTGAATCACAATCGCTCTCGTAAGTATAAACTTTCTTATTAGTAACTATACTCTTTTCGGATCCCATTTTATTTACTTAATGGTTTGAAATGAAAGCTTAATTAAATCTCTTTGTCGGGAAACAAAAGATAAAATCATTTTCATTACGCCAGGCCTCTTGAGTCGTATGGACGTCACGCGCGCATTAGAGGTAGAAAGCTCTGTGAGAGTTACAAGTGGCAAACTTTAGACACAGTGGCAATTATACGTATAACCTTTTGCCCTTTTTTTGCCAGTAGACGTATCCACCTTTGCTTTGTAACACTTGCATCGCATGTACATATATACGGAACGTTTATAGTCTGATTGTTTTGACGCTTGGAAACATTTGATCATTGCCAAATTGGTAAGATCGTCTAATCAACAAACCTGGCTTCCTTTTCAAAATCAAAAAACAAAACAAACAAACAACCATGGCTGATTAGTTATCGTTCGATTTTTATCATGTGATTTTTTTTTTTTTTTACCAACAACATACATTTGATCTAATTTGAATTTGGAGAATAATTTTGTCTATGCGACTCTGATAAAATCACCGATTTACATATCTTGGTCGCATTTCATTAATTTTTAAGCAATTGGTTTGTTCATTATAGGCTAGATCTCGTCTGCGAGCAAGAAAATGATAATTTTTTTAAAAAAAACAATGATAATTTGAAATACCAATGTGATTTTTAAAATATTTTTCGAAGCTTAAATGAGTAATATTCATAGAATCACAAATACTGGCAGAAAATCATTTAAAACAGATGTGCGTGAAATGTATTTATAGATATTATAGTTAAATATAAACTTTAAGTGGTTATTTATAAAATTTAAAAAAAAAATATACACCTACAGAAGTAAATGAGAGATTACTTGTATCGGAGTTTAGAAGCCGTATGCATTTCCTGATATTCTAATAAACATCTAGATGAAATTTTAAACATTGCATAAACGTAATAATAGTAGCTACAAATCTGTACCCACTGTTTCATACTTTATCGCGAGACTCATTATTTCATTATAATATCTAGTATATCATATTCTCAAAAATGTTATTCAGATCCGTAAAAGACCAAAGCTAGCCATCTGACACATCACTATATCTGATTGTTTGGTTTAATTTTGGTTTGGCTTTTCTGCTCGGTTTAATTCAATTGGAAGCTTGTATTTTGGGTTAGTTGTTTATTTCCATAACTGTTTTAGATTACATGCATTTACGTAATGGCTTCTTGTGATTAGACTGAGGTCATGACCACTTTTTGTTATAAACCTCTGAAATATTTAATCGCTTAACAATAATTAACATATTGTAAGTGTATAAAAAATCCCAAATGTTAGTGTTATAATCTTGATATTTTAATGTTTAATTTCTTAATGGCTTAGCATCATATCGATTTTAGTCACATATATCAGAATTTCAGGAAAAATATACGATTTCTTTTCTAGGTTAGTCAATAGTACTGTGACAGTGTGGCAATTCTCCTCGATGTTATTTGTAATTATCCTACGCGTAATATTCTTCCCACCATTAACAATAAAATGATAATACTTCCGTCATTTCTGTATAACTTTGTTTAACATCTTATCAAAAAAAAAAAAAACTTTGTTTCTTCGTTTCAATTCAGTTCAAAGAAAAGCTACAAAAAACAATTACCCAATTATTAATTATCTGTGTTTTTCCTTTCTGTCATTCTGTGGTTAACCACCTGAGTGACTGAGTCACCAGACTAGAGTCAAATTTAATAGTCTCCTCAATCATGTAAGACTGGTAGACTCATATTTTATAAATCCAGATGAGGCTAAAAATAATTAAATCTCAAACCAGTGGCATATATTAGATCGAAAAATATGGGGTTCTTGCACATATGACCTCAAAATTGAAGTCAAATGCAAATTTAACCTCTTTTTTCTCCCTCTTCAACAAATGTCATTTTCTCTCTACTATCTCCTCACAACCACATATATTCACGAAAATGCCATTATGTTTTCAATTTTTATTTTTTCTGAAAAATACCAAAAATACACAACCATCCTAAAATATATCACTTATTTACAAAAATGCCATCATTTTCAATTTTGTCAACCACCATTACCACCCAATTTTGAAGCTCTAAATGTTTGCCCAACCAATTTTGAAGCTCTAACTGCTCATTGTGTTGCTTATAACTTCATTTTACCTACAAATTTCTATCTAATTTCATCTAAAAAACTCTTTCATGCTCAATTTCATAATTTTCAATTTTATAAATCATCTATTTTTGGAGATTCTTGCATAACAACGACTTAGCTAGTTTGCTATCGGTGCTATACAAAAGTCTGGGTGTATGTCAAAGTTAATCGAGTTTAAATTGGAAGTATGTAAACATCTACTTCATTTTCTTTAACATTTAGCTCTGTTTCGCAAAAGCAGACTTCTTTTTCAGCCTGCTAGTCAACGCAAAGGTTAGATTTGCAATTGACTTTTTTTCATATTTTTGTAAGCAGACTTCAAAAGAAGTCTGCGAATTGTCCTTTGTAAACAAAAAAAATCATGTAGACTTCTTTTGCAGTCTGCGAGAAAAAAGGTTAGTTTTGCATTTGACCAAAAAAATTGTCGATCTTTGACTTTTATAGT